GTAAATTAGTGGATGTATAACCGATGTGATTCTGCAATCTATATACGGGGTAAAAATGGGAGTTCATAACCCACTTGAATCAAAGTGTGAAATATGATATGTCAAGAACTATGTAATGTTTTGAACAACCAACAATAAAAATTTAAAAAAAAAGATAGTGAAAAAAAAAAAGAAGGATGAGGCTGTTTCCATCACCTGCTGTCCCTCCTGCTTTTCTCTGTGCCTCCAGGACTCACTGCACAGCCTTGCCATCAGCCTCACCCCCAAGGCTCTCTCATTTATTATTCCCCCATTCCTCTCTGCCATCCAGTAGAGTGGGCCAGAAGAGTAAGCATTTATTGATCACTTCTTGTATACCAGGCACCATAAGCTGTGCTCAAATACAAAGATACAGAACCCAGAGTCTACCGAGTCTACCTTGAGCACAGATTTATAATCCAACAAGTTGAGTGTAGTGGGGTCAGTGTAATGACAGAGACATGCACAGAGGCTGGAGCCTCACCTGAATTGAGGGTGTTGAGGAAGGTTTCCTGGAGGAGAGGGCATCTGAACTTGAAGAGGGAGAAAAGGTTACTTAGGTGATAAAGGGTAGGACAGGCAGAGAGAGTAGCCCCATGTCCTAGAGAGAATGGTTCCACCATGCAAATTGTGTGCTCTTCTTGTTCTCTAAAATAATTCTATTGTCTTCTCATTGTACATTTGTGGTGGTAGAGGGTCCATGTCTTCAGATAGCCCACCATGCAGTGTTTGGTGCATGCTTGTTGATCTGATTTGAAATGGATGTTGTGGTTTACAGTTTGTAAGCCAGCTTTCAGCAGGCCTTATTGTTAGGACATGCACTTAGAACTGGCCTGGGACCACAGAGTTATTTGCTTTCCTTCTCTCTCTTATCCTTTTTTTATGAGTTCTTTGAGAATCTGATGAATATACCCTGCCATGTGTTAACTACGTTATCAATTTTTCTCTTCCTAACAGCCTGTGTTACTAAGAATTCCCCTTCCCAGAGGGCCCTTTCAGTGGGATGTAATGGGTAAAATTAGACATTGGTCCAATTTCTAAAACTTCAGTTGATCTCATGATGGCTGGGATAGCATGGAGACAAGCTTGTCACTAAGACTAACTCAACAAAGCACACCATCATGGGGATTGTATAGGTGAGGTCTTCTGCCCTGTAACCGTAGCTGACATTTATTGAGTGCTTCCCATCACTGGGCACCAAGTTAAGGGCTTATTTTAGCAACCCATTTAGTCACAAAACTGTGAGTTAGGTACTGTTATCATCCCTGTTTTACAGATGGGATTTCTAGGGCACAGTGACATTAAAAACTTGCCCAAGGCCACATACCTTATAAAGATACAGCTGGGATTCAGACTTAGAATATGGTCCCAGAGCCTGTGCACTTATAATACCATAGCTAAACTTTTACCATAAAACATCTTCATTTCATAGAAGCCAGCAAAGAAAGCCAGAGAGCCTGTGTCCTGATGCAGCATTTGTAGATGTGTAGGTGGATTGATTGGCAGGAGTGCAGGGTAGAAGTATGTATCTCCTGGCACACTGTAAACCTTATTGAGGTATTTCCATATTGATTCTGATTTGGTGAAGAGCACCTCCAATGAAGTCTTTAAATGAGTTAATTAAGCCTTTCTAGACATTCTTCCTACCAGTGCTCGCCTTTATTTAAATCTAACCAGGCATGGTGGCATTAGCTCAGGAAGCTGAGGCAGGAGGATTGAGAGTTCAAAGCCAGCCTCAGCAACTTAGCAACTCAGGGCCTCTCTCTAAATAAAATATCAAAAAAGGCTGGGAATGTGGCTCAGGTTCAAGGCCCCTGGGTTCAATCCCTGGTACCAAAAAAAACTCCAAAATAAATAAACAAATAAACAAAAAACCTAAGGTGGTGCTTTAAAAAAAACAGGGCTAGGGCTGGGGTTGTAGCTCAGTGGTAGAGCATTTGCCTAGCAAATGTGAGGCACTGGGTTCGATACTCGGCACTACATAAAAATATAAATGAATAAAAAAAACAGGGCTACCCACTTTACATGTCTTATAGGGGAAATCATGTATTTCTCACCTTTCTCTTATCTGTCCCCCTAGTTATAGTGGCACCACTGGTTGAGCAAGACTATCTCAGAGATCCTCCTTGAGAACCTCTCACCTAAAGATAGAACAGACAAAGGCATCATGTCAACAAAGCTGGTCAGCCAGGAAACATCTGTCATATGCGTGTTTCATCTGCTGAGAACAAGGCCAAGAGCGTTTCTTCACATGCTTCCTCCTTCAGTCAGTCATTTGAGCATCTGTGCAGGCTTATTGAATACCTGTGTGAGCCAAGCAGAGTTCTAGGAACTGGGTGTACTCTGGTGAACAAGCCACAGCTTATATTGTTGAGCTCTGATATTGTGGTCTAATTATATCTGATGTTTAAGATTAAATAGTCTATAATAGGTATTTCTCAAAGACAATCAACCCACCAATTTGAGGGAAAATAAAAACAATAAGGAGAAGAGTGGTGAGGTGAAGGAGGGTGTCTCTAGAGAGCAGGCATTTAGGCAAGGACTTGCGTGAAGTGAAAGAAAAAGTTTTTTTTTCTTTCATTCATCTGCTTCTTTATTCATTCAACAGCCAGTGCCAGAGCCTGTCTGCACTAGTACTGTGCTGACTGCCTTTATTGGGTGAATGATGGTGGAAGGGGGTGTGGTCTGGGAGCTATAGGGGGTGGTTAACCACATATGCCCGAGGGGCAGTGATGTTTTTCTTCCAGGATCAGGAGTGTTTGCAAGCAGAATGGTGTGCAGGTATAGGAGGAAGCTAGTAAGCATAATTCAGAATAGTGGGGTTTTTTCTTTTGGTCTTTAAAAAAAAAAATCTGAGACAATTATGAGAGAAACTTCCCAACATGCACTTAAAGTAGAATAACTTGATAATCTAAACTTTTAAAATGTCAGATTCCAACAAATAAGAAACTATTTTGCATCCTTCTCAGAATATATTATTTTTCAATAACATTAAAATAATAAGTATTTCTGACATTCATAAGTATTTATAGGCTCTGTGAGCATGTTATGTGGAAAAACTTATTACTGCTCTCAGTACACAAGGAGTTTGATTTATAAGGGGACTACCAAAGAAGAAAATATGTCATAGAATTTTGTAGCTGCACCACCAGAATAATTCTCATAACTAACATCTATACAGCATACTACAATTTACAGAGTGGGCCTGTGTAATTGATCTGATTATTACCACAGTCCTACAAAGTGGGTAATAGGATATTATCATTAGTAGGAATAGTTGTAGTGGTCTTAATGTTACCATTATCCCCATTTTACAGTTAAGGATATTGACACTAAATAATATAAGTGATTTTCAAGGAATGTATAAATTCAAATCCCAAAAAGAAAAGGTAATTTTAAGTTTTGATATTGTGGCCTTATTATATCTGATGTTCAAGATTAAATAGCTATAATAGGTATTTCTCAAAAGAAGATATACAATCAATATCACTGATCATCAGGGAAATGCAGACCAGAACCAAAATGAGATGTCACCTCACTCCAGTTAGAATGGCTATTACCCAAAAAACAAAAATAACAAATGTCCCCAAGGATGTGGAGAAAAGAGACCTTTGCACACTGTTGGTAGGAGTATAAATTAGCACAGCCATTTTGGAAAACAGGATAAAGGTACCTTAAAAAATTAAAAGTAGAACCACCATTATGGTCTAGCAGTTTAGTTACTGGTATGTATTCAAAGGAAATGAAGTCAGTAAGTTGAAGAGATACCTGAATTCCCATGTTTACTGCAACACTGTTCACAGAAATGGAAGCCATCTAAGCTAAGAAATGGAAACCATCTAAGTATTCATCATATAGAAAATGTGGTACATATATACAATGGAATACTCTTCTCCCATAAAAAGAGATGAAATTTGTCAACAATATGAATGACCCAGAGGACATTAAGTTAAGTGAAATAAGCAAAACACAGAAAGAAGTACCACAATTTCACTCATGTGGAATCTAAAAAAGCTGATCTCATAGAAATAGTGAATAAAACAGCAGCCACGTACCGGTGTGGTGGTCCATGCCTGTAATCCCAGTGACTCAGGTAGCTAAGGCAGGAAAATCCCAAGTTCCAGGCCAGTTGGTAAGATCCTGATTCAAATTTCTTTAAAAGAACTGGTGATGTAGCCAGAGGTTGAATGCTTCTGGATTCAATCTTCAGTACCTCATACACAAGAAAAAGAACAATGGCCAGCAGAGACTGGGGTGGGTAGGAGGAAAGAGTGGGAGAGGTTGGTCAAAGGGTACAGAGTTGCAAGTAGAAAGGAAGAATCAGATCTGGTGTTCTGTTGCACTGTAGGGGAAATGTGGTTAACAGCATGGTAGTGTTCATCTCAATACAGCTAGAACAGAGGATTTTGAACGTTCCCACCACAAAGAAATGATAAATGTTTGGGGAGATGAGTATGCTAACAACCCTGATTTGATCATTACACCGTGTATACTTGTATCGAAGCATCACATTGCATCCCATAAATATGTAGAGTTTTGTATGTTAAAAAAAAAAGAATTAAAAAAATCTAATTGAGCATTTTTAAACTCCATTTACTTCTCATCTGTTATTGTCAGAGTAGGAGGCAGGCAGCAGTTAAGAAAATATGGTTAATATTTCCAAATAGTGCAACATTTTCCATTCTTCTCAGAATTATGTCTAGTTTTTGAAGGTCAATTAATTGTCTTTTTTTTCATTTCCCTTTGGTCTTTATAGTAATTGATTTTATGGTACATTAACTTTTGAAGTGGGGGGGCTGGAAGAGTAGAATTTTTACTCGTGGATACAATTTTTCTCTTTTGGGATCTACTCATTTGTTCTTTAAACAGACATTTATTAGATGCTGGGAACTGCACTGCGTCCTAACTCTTTTGCATTCCCATTTTGTTGATGAGTAACATTATTATGTTGTGAGTAATACCATCTGTGTGTGTCCTTCCAGGTGGGGTGACCGCTCTCTGTTGGGACCCAGTCCAGCGGGTATTATTCTCCGGCAGTTCAGATCACTCTGTCATCATGTGGGACATCGGCGGGAGAAAAGGAACAGCCATTGAGCTCCAAGGACACAAGTAAGTCTGCTGGTGCTTTTTAAAAATCTCTGGAAAAATATTCCTGGCTGAAAGGCGGGACAGAGGAGTGCGGTCCAGTCTCAGTGGGGGACCTTCGAGTAACAAGGAACATGTCAAGAATATAGTAACGGGGCTGTGGCTGTGGCTGTGGCTGTGGCTCAGTGGTAGTGCACTTGCCTGGCATGTGCGAGGCACTGGGTTCAGTTCTCAGCATCACGTCTAAATAAATAAAATAAAGGTCTATCAACAACTAAAAAAATATTTTAAAAAAAGAACATAGTAATGGCCACCTTGATTTATGTCTATACTAAAGTGTCTTTATATATTTATACCCTGTTTTATGTCACAGGATTTGAGAGTGCTTATGAAACCATAAAATGAAATAATGGCAACAAATAAATAAAAGGTAAAAATTAGAACCAGGGAGAATACAAAAGTACAAATTTGAATAAGAGGGGGGGAAAAGAGCTTAAAAATACAAGCCAGGAAGCCCTACAAAATTTCCATGATTGAGTTCAAATGTGGCTTGAAGCTCCCTGGCAGCTTGAGGAAGAGATAATATCCTTACACAGTACATTTTGTACTTCACCAAGTATTTATTGAGTGCTTGCCTTGATTCCTATCAGACCTTCTTCCTTGAGGGTTGGGCTTTCACAGGCTGTGGAGAGAGCAGAGAAGCCTTGTTTCCTTGGAGCTGATCTCACACTTGGCTTTGTACAAAGAATCATTGAGGAATTTGTTAACAAGTAGATTCCAAGCTAAGATTCTGGTTGTTGGTCTGGGGCTGTGGGAACCTGTTTTGTGACAAGCCACCTAGGCAACTCTCTGCTGTGACCCTCAGACCAAGTTCAGAGCTGCCCACCATCTGCTGCTACTATCCTGGGGGTAAAGCCCAATCTTTTTGCAGAAAAGATAGATCCGTGTACAACTGCAGAGCTACTGTGAATTGTGTTTTACTTGTGAAGTTTTCAAAATGATAATAAAAGTGACCCTAAGCAATTGTTAATAAACATCAGTAATGTTCCTACGAGCTAACTGGTTTTAGGAAGCATTAGCCTTTCCTGTATATCTGCCTAGAAACACTAGTTTCCAGATATTCTCCTAAGTGTTAAAGCTATGATTTGGGACTATTGGGTAATAACCAACTAAGTTTTGGAGGGCCCATGCACAGTTATGTCAGGTTTAGAGCTTAGCTCTTTTTTCCCTCCTTCGAGAACACACCAGCTATGTGAGTCTCTCCTGGTGTGTGGGGCTACATAGGCCTCATCAACTCATTAGAGCAATTGTTCCCTTATATTTATCTCCCTAACAAGGGGACAGACATCCAGGTCATATAGAAGGAATTTACATCATCCATGTAAAATAGAGAAAGAGAGAAGTCAAAACATACTTCCATTTAATAACATTCAGTTATTATCTAAATTGCCAGATAATTCCTGCCAAGTCAGCTTCTCTCAGAGAAATAAAATGCAAGTTTTGAATGAAGATCAGTAACATTTGTTGGACTCATTCACTTTAGCTCCTAATAGTTTTTTTCTTTTTACTCCATAAAGAGCAAGTGTACAGTCTTGCACAATTTCAGCCCTAAGAAATTAAACCTTGCATTGCTCAACATCAGCACTGCTGTATGCAGAAAGCCCTTGTCCTGCACTAAACTGTGGCTGTGGGAAGCTTAACAGTTTGTTTAGAAAGGAGATATAAGGTTTAGATACAGTTTCTCAGTCCTAGAAAAATAAAACCTAGCTGGAGATAGGCCCTCCAGCTTCTAAGGTATACAGACTTTTCATTTGAGAAAATAGAATCTATTTGGAGTTCATTTTGATAGGATTGTACCCTTAGACCTTAGATTGGTGGGCAGGCAAGCCTACTCTTGGGATGGGGAGCCACCACACAGAACTAGCATTAGTGTCATTATTATTATTTTGGTACCAACCCAAGGATTGAACCCAGGGTCAGTTGTTCAACTACTGAGCCACCTCCCCAGCAACCCCCACACACACTTTTTTGAGATAGGTACCATTACATTGCTGAGGCTGGTCTCAAACTTGCAATCCTCCTGCCTCTGCCTCCTAAGTCACTGGGATTACAGGGATACACCACCACGCCAGAACTGACTTTAAACAGGAAAAATGGCAGCAGGCCTTTGTCTGGGGCCTTATTTAATTGAAGCCTAGCAGTAAATACAGTGAGATCTCTGAGGCTCTTTGTCTGCAAATCTTAGCCTTCGAGGGATTGCCCTAGTGTCAGGGAGCTGGAGAAATGAACTTCCTTTGATCACTCACTGTCATGCTGTGTCTGACTGCCAGGTGGGGATGGGGGCTACTTGGGCTGCTAGAAATAATAGGTTGAGATTCACAAAAGACTGAAGGAACAGTCAAAAGAGCACCAGGCAAGTAGTCCTGGCCCTTTCTCAGCAGCCATTCCTTCCCTTGAAAATGGGCCACTGGAGTGGCTTTCGGTGATTCTTACATTTGAATAGCACCTATGTTTTGTCAAAGATCTCTCAAAACCTGAAAACCCCTCGGTTTATTCTTATAATCATCCAAAAAGAGAGGCCAGGTGCTATTTTTAAGATAGCGCACCAAGCCTTACTTCTCTCAGACCCAGAGCTACCCTGCTTCTGTGGCTCCAGCACCATGGGGCTGCAACAGTAAATGTTGGCCAACAAGTGGTATCTGCTGTGCCTGCGGATGTTTTCTGTTTCTTTTCTGCTTGAGGCCCAAGGCTGTCCCTTCCTCTCTACCAGTCTTAATTTTCCTTCCTTTCCCCAGGGGCATTCATGGTCAGAGTTCTAGATCAGGGACATACTGGTGGGAAATGGGGAGAGCAGGGGATCAGCCTTCCCTTGGCATGGAAATGGCCACTGTTGTATTGAGGGGCAGCTCCACTAGTCTCCCGTCCTGTGCTGCAGCAACAGATCCATGGTTAGAACTAGTCATGTGCTACATAGGGACGTCTCCTACACCATGGTAGTCCTGTGGGATTATAATGGAGATGAAAAATTCCTTTGGCCTAGTACTTTTCTGTTTCTTTTGTACATTTAGATATGCTTGGATACACAAATACTGTTAGAAATCCCTGCAGTGTTCTTTATAATAACAGGTGGTGGCACAGGTTTGTCACCTAAGAGCAGAAGGCTCCACTATATACCCTAGGTGTATAGCAGGCGACACCATCTAGGTTAGTGTACGTGTTCTCCATGATCCTCATGTGTCAACAAAATCACTTGTGATTCTCAGAACATGACTGTTGTTAAGTAAGGACTCTGATTTGATTTGATTTGCTGTTTAAAAATCCCATCAAAGCAGAAACTTTTAGCATTAAATACATTGCTTGATGACAGTGAAAATGTTTCTAAGTCTGAAGGGAGAAAGCTAAGAAAGTATACTTTTACACAGTATTATCTGCATCTGAACAGTTTTGGCATTTTTATTCCCTGTGCAAGTGGAATGTGGTTGTATGTTATGCTGGTGGTGTGAGAGGAAAAGCACAAAAAAAAGGCTTTAGTTCCAGGGGCCGGTTACATTTTTCTGCCATCAGCCACCAGTTGTATGGATATTAGAGAAGCATAACCCAAACGCTACTGTGCTGTGCATTATCTAATAATGGTACTTGTCTTTTTTTAGATCATTTTTTATTCCTATATACGACCTGTCATTTCATGACCAACTTTGTGACTGTGATTTTTCTAATAGTATAGTTTTGGGCCTAAGACTTTTTGGAAATTTAATATAATTTTATTTAAATCACTGATAAAGACCTGTGCAGTGACTTATGTTGGGTCCTTCCACCAAGACTGGAACCTACAGGTTGCATGAATCTTGGTCACAGCCACGACTCAGCACCTGTGGCCTGTGTGTTTGCTTCCTCTTTCTAAAATTCCAGCTCTTGGTTTGTCTCTTTTAAGACTTTTGTTATGAGTGTCTGCAGACCTTTTGGTAAAGAAATGAGCAGCTTGTAAATAAATATGCATTGGGAGGATTTGTGTTTATCCTCTTATATCAAGTATTGCACTTAACATTATGAAAGGAGTAGAACTCTTGCAATTCTTCTTGAGTTTGGGGCAGGGAAGGCAGGCAGGGATCAATGTGTGTGTCAGCTCTCCTTGCAACTCTCTGGGATTTAGGAGTATTTCTCAATGTAGGATTAGGAAACTAATAGGCAGAGGAGAAGAGAGGTTGATATTTCTAATTATTTAGCTAAATGCATAATAGAATAAAAATTGGATAGTAGTTTTCATAGAGGGTAGACATGTCATAAAGTGGGACTGTCTAGTGTGTTTCTTTAATGTGCAGAGCTGGGGCCAAATCAGACCGTATTTAAGCCAGGTCTTCTGCTAGCAGCCATGTAGCCTGAAGCAAGGCACATCACCTCTCTCATCCTCCATTTCCTTATCCCTAAAATAAATTAGAAGAAAACCCCTCACAAAATTATCTAAAAATAAAATGATGTAATATGTGTTAAATAATCAGCCCAGGAGTAAAGTCTTAATAAATGGTAGTTGTTACAATTATTCTTTTCTTAAAAATTTGTTCTTGCCAAGCACAGTGGCACATACCTGTAATCCCAGCGGCTTAGGAGGCTGAGGAAGGAGAATTTCAAAGCCAGCCTCAGCAAAAAGCGAGGCACTAAACAACTCAGTGAGACCCTGTCTCCAAATAAAATACAAAACATGGTTAGGGATGTGGTGCAGTGGTCGAGTGTCCCTGAGTTCAATTCCTGGTACCAAAAAAAAAAAAATGTTTTTATTAGTTATGCATGACAGTGGCATGTATTTGGCTGGAGGCGGGGGCGGGATACTGAGGATTGAACTCGGGGATCCTTGACCACTGAGCCACATCCCCAGCCATATTTTGAATTTTATTTAGAGACAGGGTCTCACTGAGTTGTTTAGTGCCTTGCTGAGACTAGCTTTGAACTCCTTCTGATCCTTTTGCTTCAGTCTCCCGAGCTGCTGGAATTATAGGTGTGCACCACTGCACCAGGAGTAGAATGTGTTT